ATCCTCCCACCTCAGCCTCCCAAAGTGCCAGGATTACAAACACGAGCCACCATGCCAGGTCAATTTTTTTTAAAGTAATATATAGTCAGCCCTGTATATCTGTTGGTTTCACACCCATGGATTCCACCAACCAAAACATAGTATTTTCTATTTTGAAATATTCAAAAATATTTTTAAAAAATTGCATCTGTACTGAACACGTACAGACTTTTTTCTTGTCATTATTCCTTAAACAATAACAGTATAACAACCATTTGCACAGCAGTTACATTGTATTAGGTATTATAAGTAAGCTAGAGATGATTTAAAGTATATGAGAGGATATGCATAGATTATATGCAGATACTGTGCTATTTTATATAGGGACTTGAGCATCCATGGACTTTGGTATCCCTGGGGATCCTGGAACCAAGACCTCATGGATATCAAGAGACAACTATACTTGGTTTCTGAATTTTTCTTTTTTGGAGGCAAAAGGCTATTACTCTAAACTTTTTTTCAAAGCGTAGAAATTAATAATTTAGAGAATAGGGTTGTATAATATTCCTGTTTAGCAATTACACTCACAAAGTTACTTTATGAATAATGTATCATGGGAAGGGTAACATATCCATTATTGACTATATACACATTTTTTAAAATTAAAGTTTCTTACTTTAACATTAAATATGCTAATGATATCTAGCGCAATTATTTAAGTCAAAGTATTCCTAAAAGGGAGTTTCAGAGTAAACACAGGCTTTGCTTCTTATCGCTAACAATTAGAGAATATGAACATTAGCTCTCCTGCATAAAATATTTTAGACAGATATATATATTGAACATAGAAACAGAGACAAATAAAAGCTAGTCATAATTTAGACTTCATCCCTGCTAAGACTGTGTAGCTTACGTTAAATCTCTATTTCTTTGTTTCACCTACCATTCCCGGGCGAGCTTCTTATAAGCCTTTTTAATATCAGCCTGACTGGCTGTTCGGCTGACCCCTAGGACTCTGTATGGGTCAAAATCCAACGCAGACAGAATTTGCAGGATCAGAACCAGAACTATCAAGAACTGCCAGGAAATGCTCAACTTTCTCACTTCCATTTCTCTTCCTTTCCAGAGCTGAAATGATTGAAGAGGCAATGAGTTTCAGTGGCAGAAACCTGGACCGTCTTGCTTTTTAGGTAAAGGTACAAGATATATAGATGAAAAACAAAACAAACCAAAGGTATTTTGCAGAAAAGTGTCAAGCTGTTGAACTGTATCTTAAAATCAAAAACCTCACTACTACTTTTGAGTATCACAAATAGGAACTATTACAGATGAAAAGCTGAGTAATAGGAATAGCAACTCTCCAGAATATTTGGACTAGAAAAGCTTTAGAAATGAATGAAAATGAATTGGATGCAGAACAATACCTAAATGTGAGGAAACCTAAATAGGATAATCAGGGCGACTACCTCTCAAATACATGATTTCATTTATTCTGATAAGAATAAAGAAAATAAATGGTTTAAGAATACTTCACTGAGTACATGTTAAACAAACTCAAGAAACTACAAGATTTACCATGCACGAAACTACAAAATGAGATAGTTGTGGCATTCTTGGGCATTAAATAAGTACAAATATGGAGGTGAAACACTAAAAAAACTGTGTAGTTAAAACGCAGTATACCTTAATTCTGTTCTTTCTCACCACACCCATTCAAATAAGAATATGAGAAGCTGCTCTTTAATCATTAGCAATAGGGTCCTTCTTTTTTTTTTTTTTTTTTTAGACGGAGTTTCACTGTTACCCAGGCTGGAGTGCAATGGCGGGATCTCCGTTCACTGCAACCTCCGCCTCCCAGGTTCAAGCAGTTCTCCTGTCTCAGCCTCCCGAGTAGCTGGGATTACAGGCATGCGCCACCATGCTTAGCTAATTTTTTGTATTTTTAGTAGAGACGGGGTTTCACCATATTGGCCAGGCTGGTTTTGAACTCTTGACCTCAGGTGATCCACCTGTCTCGGCTCCCAAATTGTTGGGATTACAGGCGTGAGCCATCGTGCCGGCCAATATGGTCATTATTAATGGAAACCTCAGATGAGAAAAAGTAGCAAGAAAAAATTCAGTTTTCCATGTGAAGAAGAATTAATGGCAAAGACCAAATAGCAGACATGGTCTTTAAAAGTTTTAAGCTCCATCTCTGGTGAGTACAGTGACTTAATTCATTGTGAATTTTGGAAATAATCCTGGCTGGTTAACGAACAGGGTAGTGCTGGAATTGTGGATATGTATACTCCACAATTATGATCGCTGTTATACCCTATGATGTTTTTCTCAATTTATCTTGATTTCTCATAAGCTAATACAGTTTTAAGGTTCAAATGTCTACTGTGACACCTTACTGAAGAGGGGCAAAGCTATAACAGTGGTAGATTTCCGTAAGTGCAAGTTTAATGCCGCCTGGGGGTCCTCACAAAATTGACTAATCTAATGATCAATGTTTAAAATTGCATACGTGCTGAATAAAATCCTAAAACAAGCCAGTTTCTTCTTTGTTAAGGCAATCTATTATAGCCTACAAAACACGTGAAGGCGATGTAGCTACTGGTTAAGCACATGGGTTGAAGGCTGGGATCTACTCTCCCCTACTGTATTACCTTGGGCAAATTATTTAAACTTGCTAAGCATCAGCGTCCTTATTCATAAAATCGGAATGAATACTACTACCCTTAGTCCCCATCATGTGGGGACTAAATGCATCTAAAGGGTTTACTGAGCCCAGAGTCAACAGTCAATAAATGGTCGTTAGTGCTATTATTTCTACCATGCAGTACGACCGCTGCCTTATTTAACTGTGTCAGTTCCTTCCAGTTACAGGGCCCGAGTGGCGGCGGTCTGGGAAATTCTTTCGCTGACATGCGAGATAGACGGCGCCGACCTCGGAGCAGCAAACACCTGCCCAACAGGTAGGCTGCCAACCCTCTGGGTAGCATCTCCAGGACCAGGAAGAGGCTCCCAGAGACAAGCTCCAGGTCTAAAACCCGCCTCGCGCTCCCGCCGGAGGTCGCAACCCTGCAGGAGACAACCCCCTCCCCCGCCGCCCTCCGAGAGCCCAGGGCCCGGCCCTGTTGGCTCCCGGCTCCCCCCGGGCCCGGCAGTGACTGGAAACAAGAAGGAACTGACGGGAAATCCCTGAGTCGACCTGGCCCCGCCGCGTCCGCGGTTCCGCGCGTCACGCCGGGAAGGAGTTACCGGGAAAGTACACCGGCCCAACCGGCTGCAGCGTCCGCGCTCCAGTTAGTTCGCCGGGCCGGGAGCTTCCCGTCCACAACAGCGCTCGCCCGGGCCTGGGGAGGGGAAAGAGGCGGGGACAAGTCCGAGGGGAGTCACGTGACGCTTAAAGGTCCATCGCACTGAAGGCGAGGACTGAACAGGTCGAGGGTTTCTACTTGGCAAATCTATTTGACCCTTGCCACTCGCCGTCTACGCGTGGACCTGGGGCGGTTGCTATAGGAACCAGGGGCGCTCTTTGGTTGCTTCCAAAGGGTTGATCGTGACCAAAGAGGCCAAAACGTGCCTCCTAGCGAGGCGAAGTCGCTATGCATGATGGGATGCCAGAAGGACCTCCTCTATCCAGGAAGGTGTTTCCGCTGCTACCGAGAGATGGCCCTCGTCTAGCAACAGTTGCTAGGATGGGGACGCAATCTCTGGTCCCTATTCTCTTTAACCCTATTCATAGAATCCTAGAGCGTCAGATTGGAAGGGACCCTAGGGATTCTTTAACTCTCCAACTCCTCCAATATTGATAAGGAGACTGAGGTCCAGAGAGGGGCAGGGATTTGCCCAAGGCCTAGAATCCAGGATTCCTTTTATTTTTGTTTACTGATTTTTTTTTTTTGAGTTGAGAGAATCCAGGACTCCTAATCCCGTTTACCGAAAGGCGAGCTCCACCCAAGAATGTACCGGTCTCTGCCTTAAGCACGGGGAAAGGGCGGTGGGGGTTGGAAGAGGGATAAGGCACAGGTGAGTGAGGGAAACTTTCTTTGAGCCAATGAGATAGATCCCTTGGGGATATAAAGAGCGTTCATCTCTCTGCCCTGTTTTTATTTTTTTCTCTTTGCATTTATCACTAACATACTATGTCTTTTATTTATTTATATAGTTTATCACCTGATCCTTCCACTGGAATGTAAACTCTAAAAGCAGGGATTTTGTTTTGTTCACCTCCATGTTCTCAGGGTTTGACTACAGCCTCAATAAATATTCGGAAAGACCGGGCGCAGTGGCTCAAGCCTGTAATTCCAGCACTTTGGGAGGCCGAGACGGGCGGATCACGAGGTCAGGAGATCGA